GCCATTATCAAGTTGTAACTGCTCCTAGCATGTGTAATAGATTGGGGACATTCCTGAGGCTGAGGTAAAACCTCCGGATAATGTGCTGTTTGTTTGCAAGCTCAATCCAGTTACTGAAGTGAGTTTCCTATGTAATTGTTTTGTTCTTATTGCCTGTTAAATAAAGATTTTTAATTATACTTTTTATTGGAGTTTTTCTTTGAAAGTTTTAAGTCATTTATGTGTCTGTCTCCCTTTTTTTGTCTTTAACAGGATGGGGACCTTCATACAATATTTTCACGTTTTGGGACTGTTACATCGTGAGTGCTTGACACCATTAATGCTTTCAAACTTCTTTCTTGCATAAATTGCTTGTGAAATGTGTTTCTCACAAAATTCCGGTGGCAGTGCTGACATAATTCGAGACTACAAGACTGGAGACAGCTTGTGCTATGCTTTTATTGGTAAGTGACGTTGCTTTTTGCCCCCCAGCTCATTTTGAGTTACATCATTTTCTGAATTATTTGAATTCTATTTCAGTACAGTACACTGTCTGAGAAAGAAATATGTGCACATGCACCTTCATTTCTAATCTACTTTGTTTGTGTTAGTTAAGTTCTTTCTTGCTTTGTCTGAAGTCTGAACTCTTACAATACGTGTAAGAATTCAGTTCATTGCCAGAAGCAGACAAATTCTATTGCTGTCACTGCATTAACACTTACTTTGTTGTAGTGATTTTTTTTTTTCTCTCTTGAACTAACTATGTCTCTTTGTTGCTATATTAGCCACATTACATCTGGTAAGCCTAATTAACACAGAAATATTGGTTTACTCTTTCATAAACTGATATTTCAATTGAGAGATAGCTTCGACAGATGGTATCTTTTAATCTTGAAACATGTAGTCAATAGCAATCCTTAGAGTAGACATCGAGGTATGGAAATTAATGGCAACTATTTGTTCCATCTGATCTCTATATGATCCTCTCTACATGCCAGAAGTAATCCTTTTCTTGGGCTTTGTCTGCTAACTAGATGGATGTGCTAGGCTCTGTGATTTAGAATAGTTCAACTGTTTGTGATTCTATATGATGCGGTGTCGTCATATGTGCACTATTGTTTAATATTTTCTCCTTGTCAGAGTTTGAAGATAGGGAGGCCTGTGAACAAGCATACTTCAAGGTAACAATGCCAAAGTTGAAATTTATTTGTTACATTTGTTTTTGGCCCTGCAGTGTGGGAGTTTACAGCTCTGTGTTTGCTGATTCAATAATTTTTGCACATGTATTGCAAGAGTTCATCACTCGTGGTCTCTTTTAAACTATGGACAAATCTTATTTGCTTATTGGATGATGCTATATTTGGATTTCGATTTCTTCATCCTATCCTTCTTTTGTCCACAGGAGTGGGAGGAGTAAGAAGAATCTTATATTTCTTAGTCTAATGTGTAGATGATGATCAATGAGTGTGCTTTCAGTGACAGAGCTCATTGAAATTAAACTAGATACTGAATGCAATAACAGTTTCCAATGTCATATAGCTGGCTATGAAGTCGGCATCCCATCTCCCCCTGCTACCCTTTTCCTTTGTACATATTTCACTGGTGGTTAATAGTTTCTGTACTGACCCCCTTTATTTCTTCCAAATTTCTTTTATTCCGCATATGGCAGAAACCTGTATGGTTCAAAATTTGACTCTTTCATTTTGTATTAGATGGATAATGCTTTGATTGATGATCGGCGGATACATGTTGATTTTAGCCAGAGTGTTTCAAAACTTTGGTCCCAGTATAGGCGCGGAGGCCGAATGAATAAAGGTGAGTAGAGTGAGATACTCTCTCCTCTTTGTTGCCTTTGACTATGGATACAAGTTGTCCTCCGCGTAGATGAACCGTTGCCTTGATTCCTTTTCAATTGTCTAATGTCTGGCTACGTATTTATTTCTCTTTCCTGTTCCTTTCTAGCTAGTAGTAGATATCATTTCTTGGGGGTGTCAAGTGAGAGGCTTGTAGAGTTGGATGCTTGGCAAAGGTGAAACTACAGAATTGGTTGTCAGTTGTACGGCAATAACCTCTGTAACATGATATGAATGATGCATGGTAGTTGTCATGACTGGTCACAATACTATGCTCAGCAAAGCTTGAATTAAAGGAAGTTAGCTGCCAATTTACAATTAGGTTTGTTCCTTGGGCGGTTGTCGAGATTAAAAAAGTTTAAAACTTTAATCTGTTCTCCACTCGAGGGCTCGGTTTTGAATTTTGGAAACCAAACTTGAGCTGTTTAAAGTTCAGATTGTAAAACTACGTCATTTTGGAAATACAGTCTTTGGTTCCAAAGTGATCTGACTGAAGTTTATGAATGAGTCCTACCTTCTGTGTTTTCTAAATTTTAAAGGCCCATTTCATGTTTTATAAGTATTCTTTAAGAAACAATAGCAGTACGCTTTTCTTATAAAAAAATATTCTCACCCTTGACCTATGTAGAACTGATCTCATACTTTGAATTAGACTGACTGTTTGAGCAATCAGTGGTTTTAGGAAACCAGAAAGGACTGGCTAATCTAATTGGTTTTGACAGTTTACTCATCGACTATCCAGATTATTTATGGCTCGTAAGGGAAAAAGAAAATTTAGGTTAAGCCAGTGTTTCAAACTGATTGAATTGGTGCTCACTTCTTTTAGTTTTTGCCATTAAACTAAGGTTATTTTGAAATTTTTGTGTTTTGAGTACTTTGTTTTGCGTGAAATGTTTTAAAAGAAAAAACTCAGTCAGTCTTGTTTTAAACAATTTGTTGGTCATCAGTTTCTTTTCTTGCAAACTATTTTTAACTAATTTATCAGTTCTTTAAACATGCTCATTGTGTCTGAAGGTTGAGATAAACTGAAATTAGTCAAAGACTGATAAAAGACGCTGAAAGTGATTTATAGTAAAGTTGGGTTTCTCTGGTTTTTAAACCTGTGCATAAAGTTTAGCAGCCAAAGGTCCTTCATCTTGCTTTTTTTTTTTTTAATTTAAATTTGTTTATTTGTACAGAGAGAATGGAACGGGAGTTGTTTAGGGGCACAGGTTGCTCGGAGCAATGTAGTATTCAGCTAATTGTCTGCCAATATGCTATAATTTTAGTTTAAATAGTTATTTGTTACAGGAAAAGGCGGCTTTCAGTGTGTAAGGTGGGGGTTGTCAAGGGGAAAAGGTCATCGGAAACATAGAAAGTTTTACGCCTTCAAGACAAGTATACAAAATTTTAGTTTCAACTGTTTCTTGTTGCAGGAAAAGGTTGCTTTAAATGTGGTTCTCTTGATCACATTGCTAAAGACTGCACTGGAGATCCAACCAATGCACAGCAGCATTCAAAATACATACTCAAAGATGGCAACACCCAGCACGGGGGAGATGATAATTCAAGGTTGGTCAAGGCATTGTTGGAGAATTCTACTTCTGCACCCCTTTGTCTGAACATGCTCTAATCTTGTCAGAAAACATGTGTTTGTAGGTATGAAATGGTATTTGGTGGAGAGGACCTTGGCAGCCCCAAGGGAAACAAGAGGGAAAGATACAGTGAGCCTGAGAAGAGTGACAGAAGAGAAGACTGGAAATCGGCAGGTCTTGATAATCAAGAGCGGGATGGGACTAAAGATTCCCAAGAATTGCGTAGTCATCGGGGCAGAAGTAAAGAGCTTAGAGAGGATGACAAGTATAGAGGAGACCGAGCAAGCAGACATAGTGGCAGGGACAGAGGCAGCACAGCAAGCGATGAGGGGGATTATAGAAGGAAAGCATATGGTGGTAGTGAGAGGGATGGGAGAGAGGGCGTGAGGTATGAGAAGAGGCATAGAGATGATGCTAGTCACAGAGACAATCAGTATGGGAGAGAATACAAAGAGAGGCGTGCAGGTGATGTAGGTTGGCGAGACAGAAGGGACGAAAGAGATTCCATGAGAAGAAAAGGCGGCGATGAGGTGAGACGGAGTCAAAAGGTAGATGAAAATGATCATAATAGTAGACACGAGTCAAAGGGTAGAAAGCACTATGACATGGAGACCAGGAAGGGAAGAAGTGAAGAAAGGGAATCTGGAAAGCGAAAGGCAAAGGTTGATGATGCTGCCGACGTTGGTGATTATGAACGTGACCGCAGTAGAAGACGCTAACTAGTCCGTGAGAAATTGTTGAGCTGCAGAACGCTGTATTTGGTTCTATATATATTATATTTATAGCTCGACAACAATCCCCTCAAAATGAATGTATTGGTGGCAATGGCAGCCACTGTGTGCTTCTTTCCAAATCAATCCCAAGTTGCAGGTGGATAGATGTCATGAAAAACTATTATTGACTAACCGTAATTGCCTCCTCACCTTCTAATTAAACCTTTGGTAAAATTATTGAATTTTTATAAAGTACTCCATGCGGACTGTGTTAATGTTTGAAAAGTTTTTTTTTTGTTTTGTTTTTTCGGTAGAAATTTTTGAAAGTATAAATATCAAGTACTGGTAAGATATTCTTACGATGGTAAGAGCAATTATCAAATTTTAGAAAGTTTTATTAGTTTTTTTTTGTTTTTTCCAAACGATAAAAGATTTATTAGTTAGTGGGGCAAAAGGCTGATGTCCATTATAATATGATAAGTGCAAATAATTACCGTATCCAGATTCAGTCCATAATACTGAAAATCGTAGTACTGGATGTGGAACCGCGAGGAAAGAGTCTGACAATGTTACTGCGCTCATAGGACCTGACAATGTTCGGCTTCGGTTTAGTTAAGGTTAATATGGTTCAACTCTGGATTAATCAGGATTAACCATTTTTATATTTTGTGTTAGGCATAAGGAATTACAAATGGTTAAAAACAATTTGAATTTTAAGATAAAGCATTTAACATTTAGATTTGAAATCAGTTTAAAATCAGTTTGAAATCAGTTTAACATTTAACACCTGGCTTCTTATTGTAAAGCTTCTAAGAGATGTCATGTCATTCAAAAAAAAAAAAAAAAAAAAAGCGAATATCAATTGCCGTGGGGAAATCTCTAAACATATCGGCGCCTGATCCTCTTCTCTTTCGACTGTCTCCTGATTATTATTAAAAAAAAAGAAAGAAAGAAAGAAAAGAAACAAATGGCCAGAATAGCTGCAGTAGCTACTGCTTGCTCTCACTTCATTCCATCCAAGCTCGCCATTACTACTAATACTACTCTTCTACTCTCCAAACCGTCTCTTCAACTCCAATGGTCGCTACATTCGAACTCTCTATTCTTCAAGAGGAGGCTGTCGTCGACGGCGAGAATAGCTATGAGCCTGAAAGCCGGCATCGTCGGCCTCCCCAATGTCGGCAAATCCACTCTCTTCAACTCCGTCGTAAGTCTGTCTTCCTCCTTCTTAACTTTCGCCGCCACTTGTTTGTTCAAATTTGGACCTTCAATATTATATTCTTGGACATTTGTACGCAGTTGAGCAACGAAAACTAGTTCAAATTCCTTAAAAAGCATTCAAGTTCTTGCTTTTAACTTCCACCCGCCACTTGTTTGTCCAAAGTTGGACCTTCAATATTCTAGGACATTTGTACGCTGCAAGAACTAATTCAAATTCCTTAAAAAGCATTCAAGTTCTTGCGAAATGAGTGCTCTCTGATAACAGCCATGCTTAGTATAGTTTGGTGAATGATTTGCAGGTTGAGAATGGAAAGGCTCAGGCTGCCAATTTCCCATTCTGCACAATTGAACCTAATGTTGGGAAAGTAGCTGTTCCTGATCCACGTCTTCATGTTCTTTCTCATCTTAGCAAATCCCAGCGAGCCGTTCCCACATCTATTGAGTTTGTTGATATTGCTGGCCTTGTCAAGGGAGCCAGTCAAGGGGAGGTGAAATTTTGATACAAACGCTTCATTTGCTGAGTCTTCTCGTTTTTTCTTGAGTTTCATACTGGTGTTCACGTATTGCGCTTATTGGAAACTAATATCTGATTGCAGGGTTTGGGTAATAAGTTCTTATCACACATTCGTGAAGTGGATTCCATACTTCAGGTGTGTACTAGTTCTTCACCTATGATAATCTTAGCTCATAGTATCTGCTATTTAGCAGGTGTATTAGTTCTTCGTTCATGATAATCTTAGCTTATAGTATATGCTATTTAGTAGGTGAACACTTGAATAGCTGTTATCAGGATGCAAAAGTTAGTTCTTTCCCAGGGTTGGATGCAGTTCGAGTATTGGGGACCTACTTTGTTACATGTCTAACAGTGGCAAAGCTGCATTTTTTCTGTCATCTATTATGATCATTGTAGTTGCTAGGACAAGAAGATAAGTATCCACTGTATCTCAAATAGAACTTTTGAGATGAATAAAGTTGTCGCCTTTAAGGGCATAACATTCTATATAGCGTTGTCCCATCTGACTCAAATGGCAGTCCAGGTTTTGAGGATAGCTCTGCTGACATGTCTGAGCCTTCACCCTGCTTAGTTGACCAAAAAAAAATTCTCTATGTGTATGTGAGGGACCCAAAAAAATTAATGCTTTTTGGTCATTCTCTGTAAATTCAATATCCTACTGCTTTTAATTTCTAAGATGATCCATTTACCATTCTGATTCATGATAATTCGGCAGTTGTTTTGTTGCTCTTTCAGGTTGTTCGCTGTTTTGAGGATAATGATGTTGTTCATGTGAATGGGAAAGTTGACCCAATGTCAGATGTTGATGTCATCAACTTGGAGTTGGTTTTCTCGGATTTGGATCAGGTTTGCTATCATCTTTTTTTAATTATTTTTAACTTGAAAGTTGGAACATCACAAGTTTGAGGCTTACGAAGAAGAAACTGTAACTGTGGATTTATTATTATGAGGGCACAATATGATGGAATTACCAGCGAGTGATGTATGTTTATCTTGCTGAAACGTTGTTTCGTATTCATCCTAAAAATGGAAGCGAATATTACTGCAGCAAATGTTTTCATTGGAAAATTAAGGAATGGCCTAACCAATTCATGACAACCGTCATAGTTATGCCTAATTTTTGTCCATATAAGTTGTCCCCTGGGGGTGCTTGAATCTTATCATACCTTCATGTAGTGTACTGCAAAAGAACAAATGCTACTCTAGATTGTCTTACATGATCCTAGCTTACTTTTCTTTAGTTAAGTATGCTTACTTGTTGCTTACAAGAAGTACAGATTGAGAAGAGAATGGAGAAACTCAAAAAAGGGAAAGCTAAGGATTCACAATCCAAAGTTAAGGTAAGAGTGATCTTGGTGGTTCCAACTTCTAAAAATGTTGTGAAGTATCCTCTCTCGAACATACTCTAAAATCTGTGACTTCAGGAAGAAGCAGAGAAGTCTGCTCTGGAAAAAATTCAGCAGGCACTATTGGATGGAAAACCTGCACGATCAGTTTCTTTAACAGATTTTGAAAAAGATGCTGTAAAGCATCTTTGTTTGCTTACGATGAAACCAGTCATATATGTTGCTAATGTAGCTGAATCCGATCTATCTGCGCCAGAAAGTAACCCTTATGTTGCAGAAGTGAAGAAATTGGCTTCTGAGTTGCAGTCTGGGCTAGTAACTGTTTCAGCACAGGTTTGGTGATTTCTTCTGGCAGAAGCCCTTTGACCTTATAATTCCTGCAAGTTCTTTTCTTCTTTGGCTTTCTTTTCTTCCTCATCCATTCATATTGATGTAGTTCAAATTTGCGGATCTTTCTCATCCTGTCCTTAGTGCCTTACTTCTGAGTTTTTATCTGCCCTGAGCTATATATGCTTTATTGACCAGTCAAGCTTGGTAATAAACCTACATTATCTGACTTTGGTGGATGAAATGTATAACTGAATTAACTTCAAAGGAGGCCTTTTTACTTTGTTTGTCCCTGAAGTTTCCCTCTGGGAGGGTTGGTAGGATATGAAAGCTTAATTACCTGATATTTTATGCTCAGCTTCAGCAGTTTCTTGGACTATAGCTTAAAACTGACTGTAAATTGTGTTATCCCAGGTTGAATCAGAGCTTACAGAGCTTCCACTTGAAGAAAGGACGGAGTATTTAGCATCACTTGGTGTCAAGGAAAGTGGCTTAGGAAATCTTATTAGGGAGACCTATGGACTTTTGGGTTTGCGTACGTACTTCACATCAGGTGAAAAGGTAATGTACATCAGAAACGTTGCTGATTGAGATAAAACTGTGTATAGCTGAAAGTCATATTTACTCATTCTGCTTTCAGGAAACCAAAGCATGGACCATACAATCAGGTCAGTAAACTATTGCCTCGATGTTGAATAAAAAGCTATGCTTTTCCTTTTCTTCTGAATACCATGCTGTAGTGGGATTTGTCCTGCTGTTGCTCTTCCCTGATTAAAATTTTGTTTGAAAGGTCTGAGTTGTTCTTTTTTCTTTAGTGACTATTTTCTGATTATTGGATAGACAATAGTATCTACGTGTTTCATAGCCATTCTTCTTCTGCTGGTTAATTAATTTCTTCTCAACCTTTCAGGAATGACTGCACCCCAAGCTGCTGGGGTTATTCATTCTGACTTTGAGAAGGGTTTCATAAGAGCTGAAACGGTGAGCTTACTGAGAAAACTGTGCCTTCTGGAGCACTGCTTTAGTTTTTCTTTATAGCACTTTTTTTAATTTTTAAGCTAAAAGACTGAGGAGCCCACTAAACTATTATCATTGTAAAGTTTTTGGTGACTGAACTATTAAAAGCTTCATATATTCTTTAAAACTTCCAATACTGTAAGTGAATGATCATTCCATCCATTTCAGCTGTTAGGTTTCTCTAATTTAGTTAATTTTTAGGGAAATTTTTGTCCAAACATTTTTATTGTAAGAAAAGCTAAAAAGAAAACATGGAGCAAATTTGCGGTCCTTTACTTTATTCTGGTTCTAATAATTTTCTGTGTCTCTTTTTGTTATTTCTTATCCATGGTATAGGGTAGTTGATAGTATTATTTCCTTTTACACATGAATTGTTTTATGTATAGACATAACTGTCCCTATACTTAACAGAATAAAAAAGACATAAAGGTGGAAACAGACTTAGTGGTTAGAAGTTGAGTGAGTTGTTTGAAACATTTAATATTTGAATGGCCAAAACTTTAGGATCACAATTGTTTAGTGGCCGTCTGCATACTTTGCACTAACTTTTAAGATATAGGCATTAAGCTGATTTGTGTAGTGCTGATAAAAGTAGAAGATGAACCCAACATGATACCCTGCCTAAATAAATAGGTGGCATACTTATTGGTGGAACACAAAATATGCCATGATCACTATCAAATGATAACCTGTCTTTCTTACCCATTCGTGCTTGTACTTGTTCACTGCACTTGACAGTCAGAAATATCAGTCTGCATGTTTGTTGCCAAATCTTGTTTGTGCTAACAAACTTTTGATAGGTGAAGGATTTCACAGAGCTCTCCATGTGATAACTTCATGCACTTCTCTAGTTCGGTTTTGTGTACTTTAAGAGAATAAATTTGTTATATTTGCCAAGTGTGGAAAACAATTCCAAATGTGGCTATGATGCATACTTTCCATTCATTTGTCCATTTTGGTTGACCTATCTACTAACTTGAATAACTTCTTGCAGACTTTTTAGCCTATAAATGTCTGTTTCACAAACTTTATCAGCTATATGACTCTGAGATCCAGATGTTTCTTTCCTAGGTTGGTTATGATGATTTTGTTGCTGTCGGTTCTTTTGGAGCTGCAAGAGAGAAGGGTCTTGTAAGCTTGTTCTTTCTTGTGTTTTTAAACCAATTATTAGGTGGATTGGTCTCTTCTTGCTAAATATGTATGCAGTAAGACTGATTTCTTGGAAAACAACTTCATCTTCGGAAAAGAGAAACCTTAACCTCCTAGCCCCCTTTGGCCTTGGCCTGCAAGAAAAGAAAACAGAATATGATTTTAATCCTTTTCTCTAATTAAGAAGCTTACATGAGTCCATAACATGATTATCCGCTCTTGTGCAGCTGAGACTAGAAGGGAAAGATTATATTGTACAAGAAGGGGATGTCATGTTGTTCAGGTTCAATGTCTGAACGGTATACTAATCAGATTCTGGAACTGCATTTTTTTTTTTTTTGGAATCCTCACGAATGATGCATGCAATAGTTCAAGAATACAATTATGTGGGATGGACTATTGTTGTGTTAGAGATAGACATGTGAACTCCTGGTAAGTTATACACTTACAATTTTGGTCGAGGAGAAAGATCCATGGTACATATAGTTGGTCTTGTGGTTGCAAGTGAAAATTGATGCAATTGCGGAAGTAGACGAAGGTGACGATATAAAAAAGTGAGAGAGAAGAATCTGAGCGTGCCTTTTATCCTTCACTCTTCACAGCAATTTACTTAGCAGTGGAAACGGTCCAGCACAAATCCCAGAGTCCAAGTGTTTCCTGAAAGATCTCCTTCCCCAGGCCCAGCATTATGTGTTTAGTTTGATGGCTGTTGCATTAGCTTGTAAGCAAAATCAAAAGCAGCTACGTTAGCTTGGAAGCTAAGATGGATATTAAGCTTCAGTACTCGTCCAATCAACACACTCAATTCATTTCAACATTCCAAATCACTGCGCGCGCATTAATGAGGCGGTGGGACATGGTGTAAGTGCAAAAGCATCTCCTTTGTTTGTTCCTAAAGCAGCAACTCCCCCCCCCCCCCCCCCCCCCCCCCCACAAAACACCCCAAAAAACAACACCCCAAAAAAAAAAAAAAAAAAATTGTCTGGATTGTTGAGGATTTGGAGAATTTTTGTTTTGAAATAATCTCTTAATAAATTTTTACATAGCATGCATTATGTCTCAAACAAAGGCACAAAAACTAGTTTCAAAAATCCTAAAATCGGCAGGGGGAGCAAATCCCGACATGATTGAACTTCAGAATATATCTCAAGGCCAATTGCACATTACAAACTTCATTGGAATTGTGCATTAGAAATCAACGGACCCAGTTTATGAAAATATCAACAACTCTATGGTGATGAGAGAGAGATGATAAGGTTCACGAGCAGTAGTCCCTAAAGAAAATTGCAAACAGTTTGTTTGTTGCTAGAGAGATACTATATGGCAGCAGTTCTGTAGAGTGAGTGAATGCACGTGTACACTTCTTGTCAGTTTTCAGGAATGCATTCATATTCTTTTTAAAGAAGACATTTTTTTTTTTTAATAAAAATTATATGGAGTAGTGCTTAAACTTTTTGGAAATTTAATCACTCCTCTGATCAGTAGCCGCACGTCCATTACTGAATTTTGGACACACACCATACGCAACATTTTTATCATCACCGGTTCTTGATGATTGATGCATTTAATTAATTAGGAGGATGTATTTAATTAGTTACCGGTTCTGTGCATTATACTACTACTATTACTGGCACTGGAAAATGCTGTTGCAGGAGGATACGTTAGTTAGGACTTAGGAGGAGCAGTGAATGGAATCGAAGCGGCAATAAGTAAGCTCTTCTGGGCTTCCACCAGATTCATTATGCATACGCGGAAACGAGAGCTGAGGACCTGACAATACAATATACAATATACAATTTTCCTTCAGGGGTTTAAATAAAACTTTAATTAAAGGAGGATTCTTAATTTGATGTCCAGGAACGGTCGAGCGGTTGATTTGTTGTTTCGTGTCTCTATTCATCGAACATAAAAAAAATCAGATATTTAATGCTGGGATTCATCATGATGACCAGAATGTCAGTATCGCGTCTGCCCCACAACAAAAGAAGAACAGAGAAGATGGCCTGTTCTCTGTCATTCGAAAAATTTCGGTTGCAAGTGGGTCACGCATCCCAAGCACCGGCAAGCAGGAAGAATGACGACCTCCCACCCACTCCACCCCGCCCCACTCCTCATCCCTCTTAATTCTTTTATCGAAGTGATCAGGAGTATATATGAAGCGTCCATGCATGTCTGTCACTCTCCAAATGAGTAAATTCCCTATCTTCTTCCTTTATCTTTACAGAATTAGAAGATTGGACAGTTGGAGATAGAATGAAGAAGCTGAATCTGATGCTCAAAAGGTGCAAGACACTGTCTCGACAACTGGGCAGGACTTCGTCCTACAGTAGCCTGAGGTCCAAGTCCGCTAGAGATCATCAAGCTGATGATCATATGTGGGGTTCTGCCCACATGGTACTGGCACAGGATGATCACGAAAAACGAGATGCTAGCACAAATCATGAAGATTGTGAAACAGTGGTATTTGTTGGGAGTTCGAGAAGGCGATTCCTGGTCAAGTCTAAGTACCTGAACCACCCATTGTTGAAGGCTATCATTCAAAAATCCAACGAGAATCCAGCAGGTGAGGATTTGTCTGTCAAATGCGAGGTGGTTCTCTTTGATCACCTCTTATGGATGCTTGACAATGCCGATCCAAATCTCGCTTCCGACGCTCTGTCTTTGGAGGAACTTGCTGATCTCTACGTGTTTTAGTTTTGAAATTTGAGATTATTATGAATGTGTTGATATTGAACAATTATCAATGCATTTGGTCTGCCCTACAGATGATGATAAATTAGTCATGCATGTACCTAGAGGTTAATTTGCCGCTGCTCCTCGTGAAAACTGAGAGCATAATTCGGTTACATCACTTGTAATTGTCTTTATCTCTATTGTCATTGAATTGATGATTCAAAGGATCAAGAAATCAATAAAGACTCGCGATTTTATGTAATTCCGCTAGTCAATCAATATTCTTCTTCTCTTCTCTTCTTTTATTCCAAATTTTGTTTTAATGGTGTGTAAGATGGCTCGTACATTGTGTTCATTCAACTGACCCAATATAGGAAATGAAAATTGCAAAACAAAAATGGGCTGAGGATAAAAAAGAAAAATCCAACTTATTAACGCCGAAGATGAGCTCCAACCAACTTATTAACCTGGTTTTCTCTCCCGGTTCAACCTTTTTTCTTTTTTCTTTTTTGGTGTCGGTTCATGGAAGGCTCTCTGAAGCGTCCAGAGAAAATCTCTCCATAGTAGAGCTAAAAGTTTCACTTGACTGAGCGTGATTGCCAATTGAATCGGATACCAGAAAGAATTCTATGTCGACGCAAATAAATAAATAAATAAATAAATATATATATATATATATAAGTGGGCTGGCAAGGTTTACATGGAGCCACAGGTCCATTTTGAGGTGAGGTGATTGTGCCAGACCCATCTGATCAGAACTTGCCCTTTCCCAGCAAAGGTACTGTTTACAGCTCAATCCAAAGCCCATCCGTGGGACGGACATAGAATGTTGGGGCAAAAATGTCATGGCGCTATCAATATGTGACCCGAGGTTGTGACGGGGAAATTTGGGAGGATCCAGTGGGGAACGGCAGCAACCGTCCCAAAAAGTTTAGTGAACTTGAACAAAATGTAATGCATTTGTTTAAAGATTAATCTCTTATACATTGATAGTGCATCACTAAAACTATGATACATAATTTAAATTTAAATTTTACGTATGTGTTATGCATCCAACTGTAATAGTATATATATAATTAGTGTATATAAAATTAACTCTTTGTTCAACTATATAAAATACTTTAAATTCAATATAATTTTAGAACAATTTTTTTAAAGTCTCACGCGTGGCGTTTAAAATAATTTACATCATATAATTTGAACCTCATAATTTTTTTCCAGCCAATCTTCATCATCAATCTTTGAGAAATGAGTGCATTTTTTTTTTTTTAGCCAATATTTATGATCTGCCTTTGAGAAAGGGGTGCAACAGCAACCGTTGCTACCCCTAATTCGATCGAATGAGGCTTCCCATTGCCTCATTAGTGATTATCTTCCAATCTCTTCTTCAAGCGCCCCCCCTTAAATGAGGCAAATGGATGCTTAAGTTAGAAAAAAGGTATATACATTCACTCCCAAGATTCATACTTAAGACTAATAATAGCTTAAGCATGCTGGTGATGAAAGTCGAGTTGTTACTATATGTTAGGTTGGTGGGCTTCATGTAATAAAGCGCGTGCTTTTTGATTCATTTCATATTAGCTTTGTTGTAAAAAATAAACTGCATGAAAATGTTGTTATGTTTTGTTGAGTTTTCCATGAGCCTTCCAACTCGTGTCGTGTTCAATAGAAATGAATAAGCCGCCACTCCTTTTTCCTCCACTTACCTCTCTGTCAACTCACAACCTTAGCCCTACAAAGTGAAGCGCTGTGATTATGCTGTACGAAGTTTGCTAATCAATAATAATTAATGTTATGAACACAACACTTGGCTTTACTTTTCTACTGTACGGAGCAAGCATTGGGCTGATACATGTCTTGCTACTGTTTTTGACGCAACACATACGTGTATTGGTATGCTAAACTGATCTCTTGAATGCTAGGTTTTCACGGATCAGTAATTTTTCTTCGAAGTGGTTATCAGATCATGTGCTCACGTCACTGCTCTCCAACATTACCATGACTTATTCAACCTCCTACACATTAATAAGTGTTTTGCTCTAAGCATGATCCTAATTTGTTTTTCTTTTGTTGTATTTAAAGTGAAGAGCTGAAATGGTTAAGGTTGAGTTGATCTTTTAATTTCGTTTTTAGAAGGTAGGGGTGTTCAATTTTATTGTTACAAAGTTGGGACATGGCTCCTCTCCAGTAGATCTTCTTTTTATTTTTTGCAGTACATACTTGGTAAATAAAAACACATGTTATACGTTCAAAAGAGCACGGTAAGAAACTTCGTGAAGATTCTCCGGAGGTGTGCCATTCAAGGGAAACACCAATGAATAAATTTATGCTGCCACGCTTTTTAGGGGCTTGATGATTGATGTTGTCGAGTGTCTCGCTGCACAGCTTGATGATTTGCAAGACATTGGTCGTTCGGCCAACCAATGTCTTAGATGAATTGGCGAAGCATGCTTTGGATTTTCTCGGTTATCTCAGATTTCTTAGATGCATTGACATGTTTTCCTTGTGGTGCATAAAATGCATTTTTCTGTTGTTTCTTGTGATGCACAGGTCAGAGGAATGATGAAGAAGATGGCTGGAGATCTCTTTAGTTGGTTTGATACTATTAGAATAGGTTTTTATCGGAAATATGCTCCGAAAGCAATTGAGTTTGTTTGGATAAGAGTTTATTTGAATGATTTATTTGATTTAATTACTGTAGCATTTTTTGTGATGTGATGTAGGTGAGATAAAAAGGTGATTGAAATTTGTGAAACAAATTATTTTATCTGAAATGATGCCAATCCAAACAAATTCAACGAGTTCAAAGAAGTTCGTATTGGGAAAATGATTTGCGCGCGCTCGGCCTTTCCAAAAGGGCAAATAAATAGTTGTGTGGTGTGGCTTGCAATGAGAAACATGATGATTGGTCAAACGACTTACATCGGACGGCTAAAACGTGTAAAAAGAAAGGTCAGACGACCACATAGGAATGATCCAATCGCTCGTGCACGATTATTTATTTAAACCCCCCAACACCCAAAAAAGAAAAACATAAAAGCACTAAGAAACACAGTAGTGCTCTCTCACTCACTCCCTTCTCCCAAAATGCACTACTGAGAGACAAAGCCTGTGTCTTTTTTGCTTTCCTCATTTCATGCGCTTTCTGCATTAAATTGCTCTGCTTTCCTCAATTGGGCTTCATTGCAACTTGCAATTCATGATTCATCCAAGCTGTGGTGCTGATTAAAGTCTAAATTTCAGTTAGTTGTCCTGGTCATTCAATCTTTCTATAATTCTTTTTAAACTTGCGGGTAATTTTCTTGAATTTGCTATCTTTCAGCATGCTTATGAATTTCTTTTCAAATCGATAATAAAGTTTTGAACTTTAAGGAAAAAGGGTTTAGCCAGCAATACCTTTCATGCTAATGTTTTGTCAACGATATGGTTTTATTTTCTGGTTTGATTTTGCCATTATATTATATCTATTTTCACGCCTTTTTTTTTAAAAAAAAAATTTTTGTTGGTGGGGGTTGGGGGGTTTTGTTTGCGCAGTGGCTTGATACGAAAATGCAAAGTTCAGGCCTTTTTGGCTGTCTTGTGTCTAAATTTGTATTTTCCATTATAATTCAGGAGCAGAACCTTTGATTTGCATGAGGCCTGGTTTCTAACGTAGTCGATTGTTCGGTTAGTTGGTTATCTTGTGTTTATTCTGTTGTTCTAAAAGCTAAAGGTCATTTTCTTACTCATAGTATGTCACACTCTATATATATATTAAGGATTGGTCTTTCGGAATACTACTTCGTTGCTGGTTTTTCTGTATATTGTTGCAAAAGAAATTTGGGGATTTGGAAAAGGATGCATTTTGGTCGAACCTGAATTATGATTAGGCAATCAAGGATGTCTACTGGGTGAAAGTTGTGCTTCACATCAGGGTTGTCTCCAGACTTACTGTTCATTCTTTCTTTTCCTGAAAAGCAATTATTCACTGTCCTTGTTGTCAACTTGATAAAGCAAATATTTACTCAAGGATGAAGCTTAACTGTTTGGGTAGAAAGCATTGTATTGCCTGTTCATGCATTCTTTTAGTGTTGTTTATACCAAGTTTATCATGTCAACATCATTTGCTGCTGTATAATCCACATCGTGTATGAAGATGTTTAATCTAAAACCAACAAGTTTTTCTATTTTGTTTTTTGTTTGTTGGTTTTGGTTATATTAAGTTTCATTACTTTGCAGGAATCTTTCTTCTTGTCGAGTTTCTCCCAGTTGAAGTTTTAGATCAAGAACGAGGTTGAATATGAAAGCTCGTTACTCAGGTTCGATCCCATCTGAAGAATCAGCACTGGACCTCGAGAAGAACTGTTGTAGTCACTCCAATTTGCCATCATTTAGTCTGCCAACACTACAACCTTATGCATCAGCTGGACAGCACTGTGAGAGCAGTGCTGCTTACTTCTCGTGGCCTAGTCGATTAAATGATGCAGCTGAAGAGAGGGCAAATTATTTTGCAAACCTACAAAAAGGGGTCTTGCCTGAAACTCTTGGACGACTTCCAGAAGGGCAACGAGCAAATTCGTTACTTGAGCTTATGACTATTAGGGCGTTTCACAGCAAAATCCTTCGCTGTTACAGTCTTGGCACAGCTATTGGGTTTCGTATCCGACGAGGCGTTTTGACAGACATTCCTGCAATACTGGTATTTGTATCTAGGAAGGTTCATAAGCAATGGCTAACCCCTATTCAGTGTCTGCCTACTGCCTTGGAGGTGATGGCGTGATACTTATGTTCTCTGCTTCTTTTCAGTGGTTATTCATTATAGTTCGTGACGTCATTGCTTCTCTCTCTCTCTCTCTCACACTCACACACACTCACAGCTGTCCTGATTGTCCCACTCTTTGTTCTAAAGTTGAAAGGTCGTGTCTCTTCAGGGACCAGGAGGAGTGTGGTGTGATGTGGACGTTGTGGAATTTTCATATTTTGGTGCACCAGAGCCAACACCTAAGGAACAATTGTACACTGAAATAGTAGATGACCTACGGGGAAGTGATCCATGTGTTGGTTCAGGTTCTCAGGTGTGCTCAAGCTCTGTATCCATATGCCAATTTTGTTTACAATTTTTGGCTTCCTTCTTGTTCTCTGTGGGGATAAAAAGGGACATCCTTAAGAGTGTGCTTTTAACTAGATGTTTCCCCTACTATGTTGAATACTATGTTTGAACTTTCCAACGGTTGTTTTTCTCTGCAGTACCTATGCAAGTTAATGAATCCAAACAGCTTTGTG